AATTTGTTGTGAACACAACGAAAACACATGCTTTAAGCACATTTTAATTATTTTAAAATTTGCATAGTCTCGAGGGTAGTGACTTATGGAGGTATTATATAAACAAGGAAAGTTGAGTGTTTACTTTAAAAAACTTCCTCGAGCTTTCGGGATGTAGGTATTACGTACTTAATAGGAAATATTTGGCACCAAAATTCGTTTAATAGTACAAGCTGTAATCGAACATAATACATCCTAAGAATAAATAAAATAAAATAGAAGAAGAGAAGGTAATAAGGCATTAGAGATGCTCCTACTCTTTTAAATATTATACCTATAATAAAGCTCGGAAACTTGTCAAAACAAAAACCTTAGAATAAGACTCTGTTTTGTACTTTCTATTAAATAACTATCTACCTATCGCAATTTAATTGAGGATAAGTCCTTGCATGGAGATAGTATATATGGAGATTATATTTTATTCCATGTCCTCTTTACGCTATCGGATTTCTGATCATCATATATCGACATGAAAAGATTACGACATTGGCAAAAGTTCAATTTTGTATTTTGCAGGCGTACCTAAACATTTTGTTGCAAATCAAGTATTCTCACAATAATGAAGTTGCAGTAAAATATCTTTGTATGCAGTTTTCAACTGACTGCTTAATTTTAATGTAACGTAACTAAAGCGGCAATTTTTCACTTGTTGTAAAAATAAATAACCCCAGTGGCATACAACGTTTTTAACTGTGAATTTGCATTGATGCTTATTTCGGTATGAAATATACAACACAAAAGTACATAAACTGTAAATAGATTATATAAGATGTTAAAATATAGGGAAACAAGTTTAAAATATAACGATTTACATCTAGACAGCTACCATTTTGAAAAACATCAGAAATATTACACAAATGGATAATTATGCTTTTACATTTACGATTTTAATGTAATCATGAGCACTGTCTTATAAGTACCGTGCGCTAATCAGTTGCTTCACTAGATCTATGACTGTAATGTTAATCATCTTTCATCAATTCCAGAGGAGTTAGTTGGTTAATTTTTTAAAAATCGACTTAGAGGTTGGAACAAAAGAAAATTCGTGATGAGTCGATGACACGGCGCCGCTTTTTCAAAAATTATTGGCATTTGTCGAGATGAGTCGTTTTCAAACTCGAAATCGAAAACACGTAAGTTTAAACATTAAAAACGTACAATCAACTGTTTATTTTTTAGTTTAATCACAAGATAATTTAATACGAAAATTTATAAAAAAGTTGGTCTTCAAAAATTTTGGGCCCTGAACATATCAAATTAACAAGGGTATGAAAATTTAAGAACAACCAACTGACTTATTTCATAAATAAATTTTCATATCCTTAATTTGATATGTCTATAGGGCCTACAATTTCTGTAGGCCAACTATTTTATTATTTTTTGTCTTGATTTAATTTAGGGTTAAAATAAAAACTAAACTGTTGATTGTACGTTTTTAATATATCATCAAATTGATGTATTTTCGAGATTAAAAACGACCCATTTCCCACAGTTTTCACAGTTAAAATGGTTGCAGATTGTGTTAAAATGAAACCATTTATGAAGTTTCTGACGAGTGTTGATAATTAAAAGGAAACGACACTGTACCATAGACTACAATACTCGGTTGTAAAACTAAAAATCTTTGTTCAACTTTTAGACAAAAAGGAACTCTTTTTCTTCTCGGGGTGTCGTTAAAAATGATGAATTTATCCAATTTTACAATTGCATTTGATGTTTCTTTTCTATTTTTAAGAAATTAGCGATAACACTTAATATATCATATAATCCCTTTTCATAATTTTCTCGATTTCGTAATCAAAAATCTGTTGTCTGTAAAGTCGGTTTACTGACGATAGTTGAACGTGACAACGTCAAGAAAATACTGATGGAATGGTTTCATTTTTCAAAAGAAAATTTTAATTTTATTTGTTTGATAGATATTTTGTATGGATATAGAGAAGGAGGTAAATGGAAATGTATTATTGTATAGCAGCTGTCCACGCGGACGCATCGCTCACTCAAGTAGGAGAGAGACAGATGTCGAACGCTGCCGAACGCGGAGGCCGATTGTGCCTCTTTGTCGCTCGTTCCGCGCTCTCGCTTGCACTTCAAGCCTTAAATGGAACGCCTCAGAGCGAGGTAACGCCGCATGAGTCATGTTTTTTCGTGCGTGCAGCCGGNACATGAAAAATGTGTACACACTTACCAAAAGTTTTTGTAGAGTGGTTGCAACTTTCTGTAAAAAAAGAGATAGTTTAGCAATATTTCATTCTCATTTCACTCTTTACAAATTGAATTTATTAAATAAATTAATTTTCAGTAAGACACTGTATATGTTGCAATATATATGTAGCAAGAGAACAAAATAAACGAGACCTAAATATTATTAAATTTTGTCAATTACTTCTTCATTATCTAGCACATGTTACTGAATATGACGTTACTATTTTTTTAGACAGAGAATTGTCCACTATTTAAGATTTTTTATTTATTGTTAGGGTTTCTTAGCCAACTAGGAGTACTGCATGTTAAATTATAGACTTTAAATTTTTCATAAATGTACAAGTAGTTTGTGTTATATTATTAAAAGAAATTGACTAAATCTAAAAGTACTATATAAAAGAAAACATCAAACATTCAAAAAGTTGCGTACTTTAAAACAAGGGGGACCATATTATTGAAGTAGTGAACGCATAGATATATAATTATTATAAAAATTTATAGGTCGAAATATGAAAAACTGCCTAATGAAGGTTTTATTCAAATTTATCTTTATTAAACATATAATTACAGTCGACTCTCGTTAATTCAAAACTCAAGGGACTCGAGTGTTTGAAATATCAAATGGTTCGAAATTTTTGTGAGAAAATAAATATTTTCATTTCTCTCTTTTCTCTTTTTGAAATTTGTAAGCCACCCTTCACTTGCCGCGAAGTTTTTGATCTTTAGAGAAGACGCGAACTCTTGCTTTTTCCATTAACAAGTCTCCGCTAATTGACACTTTTTGTCCTCTACACTGTCTTAGCCAAATGTCTAGGCTTTCTTCCAGACGAGGAAATTCACCTTTAAAGTAGTTCTTTTCCGTACTTCAGCAGTTTGAACAGCATAAATTTTCTCCTAATTCTAACAAAAACAAAGGCTTAATGATACGATGATGCAAGTTTGAACTTGCCACAAAATGTACTTACGATATTTCTGTCTCTTTCTCTCTGCAACTTTGAATTGTCGAGTGTTTGACGCCGATTATTTCGAATTAACGCGTCGTTTTGTTACGTAGCAGTGATTTTTTCACTCGTGATAACTTTGAATTATAAAAAGGTTCGAATTATCGCAGGTTTGAATTAACGAGAGTCGACTGTATTATATTGACTTAAAAAACTTGCTTTGTTATACGAGCGAAGATGAATAACCCAAAAGTTGAAATAATTTTTAGACTCTTTATGAGAAACCACTGCATAAAATAATAATTGCTATAGATAATAAAGAGCTTTTTGTTTACAGAGTACCGATGGATTTATGTTAATGTTCGCACTAAAAAAAGCGTTAAATTTTAAAGGGTGCTGCAAAGACACAAACACTCTTTTTTTTCACCTTTACAATTTTTACTATCAATTGTAGACACCTATTTTGACCACAGCATTTTTCCTATCGATCTCAATATTGTCACATTTTTCGAAATCAAAACGGGTATTTGAAAAGAAGAAACAAACGTCTGCGTCTTTCAAATATTGCCCGTAGGAAAAATTTCCATTGAAGTTCAATGGGAATTAATGGAAAATTTGTAAATTTCATTCAAAACCATTTGGCATAAATGGAGAAATAATTGTTTCCATTTACAATAATTCCCCGTGGAAAAAATTTCCATTGAACTTCAATGGGATTCAATGGAAAATTTGTAAATTCCATTCAAAACCATTTAGCATAAATGGAAAAATAATTGTTTCTATTTACAATAATTCCATTAATATTTACATAGGAAAAATTTCCATTGATTTTCAATGGGAACCAATGCAAAATTTATAAATTCTATTTAAAACCATTAAATGGGAAAACAATTGGGTAGATACCTAAAAATGGAAAAGATCTGGTTTGAGATGATTAAAATTTATTAAAAAAACGGAGAGAAACGTGCTGATTGTCACAGCAAGTTGTAAAATTAATAAACAAAACATTATTTGGAATAATAATTGTCATGTAATTAATATTTTCCTCATATTTCATCTTGATTAAAAAGAATTTCATTTAATTACCCCTAGCAATAATTAAAAGTAAAAAATAAAGAATTGACACTAGGATTTCCATTGGGTTCAGGAATNGAAAAAAGGCATGCTGATGAGGTTCCAATGGAACGCAATGGAATTTCCATTGAGTTCAGCAATGGAAATCCCATTGAGTTCGGGAATGGGAATCCCATTGGCAATTCTCCATTTATTACCATTAATTATTATCAGTGGTAATTAAATGGCATTTTTTTAATGGAAATTGAATGGAAATTTTTCCTACGGGTGTCGCTCTAACTCATACCACATACCTACATAGGTATCTATGTACTTTAAAAGCTATTTTTTGAATACGTTACGTTCTTAAAGATAAACATATTTATTTAACTAACTGTGTAAAAAATAAAAAGCTAATTTTAATAGGTACGGATTATATTCAGTTTATTTTTGTTTAAGGAAATCATAAACTAATCATTTTGACGTTAAACAGTTATAAAAAGCTTTCAGAATCGGTTTTAATGTTTATGATAGACATAAATAATGTAATCTGTGCAGCTTACACAAATTTGCAAAACAGAAAAATGCGAAAATATAAACGTGTCGTTAACCTTACGAAAATATTATTATGGTTGTTGGCGCCTGTTGTTCGAATCATAGCAATAATGTCCTTTTATGGGCATTATAAATTACAATCAAACGTGTAATACGTTCTCGTAAGGGTATTTTTAGACTTCAATTTATGTTTATTTATTCGCACAGGTAAAAGAAGGCAGTTTAGCTGAAGAAGCAGGTTTACTAGTGGACGATGTCATCGTGAAAATAAACGGCATTCCTACAGCTGGATTGGCTCACGAGGAGGTTCACGACGTGATCGTAGAAGCTGGAAATGAACTTGATTTGGTTCTTCACAGGTATGAGATTTAATTTATCTTATCTAACATATAGGTACCTATCATATTATATATTTAAATTTGATACTAGATTATTTACATCATTAACTAACACTTGAATATTAACGAAGCAAGTTCCTATAATAAAGGTACTATTTATACCTTTTGATTAGTTAAAGCAAATGTTTAAGGCATGATATGATTAGCAAAAGAAATTGTCAATCTAGACACAAGGTATCAAGAGTTAATTTAAGTTCGGAGATGAGAAGAAAACGACGTGTATTATTAAGTATACGAACCACTTCGAGGTACTTTTGACTTTCTGATAACTCGAAAACTATTCACTTATTATATACACTTATAATTTTGCCCCTAAGTAAGACCCCAAATTTTGTGCATAAATCTGCAATACTTCTCAAGCTATTATCAAAAATTTGGAATGCCAACGGGTGCCAAGTTTCATACCAAGAGTTTTAAATTACGTTCATTGATATTTAATTTATAGCTTGACATAAATAATGTGAACAGGGGGCCAACTTTAGTACAAACTAAGTTCAAGGTTGTCGGTTGAGTTGAGTTGAGATGCAAACGGGTGGCAAGTTCTACACAAATGGTTTTAAAGAACGTGCGCTTTGATACTGAATTCACAGCTTGGCATAAATAATGTGAATGGAGGTCAACTTTGGTACAAACTAAGTTCAAAGTTGTAGGTTGAGTTGAGTTGAGATCCAAACGGGTGTCAAGTTCCATACGAAGAGTTTTAGATTACGCTCATTGATATTGACTTTATTTGTCTTGTGGGTTAAGTCGAGATCTAAACAGGTGTCAAGTTCGATACAAAGGATTTTAAATTACGTTCTTTGATATTGAATTCGTAGCTTGAAATAAATAATGTGAATGGGGGGCCAACTTTGGTACAAACCAACAATAAGTTAAAGGTTGTCGGTTGAGTTAAGTTATTGAGATCTCAACAGGTGTCAAGTTCCATGTAAAGTGATATCCAATTACGTTTTCTGATATTAAATTCATAGCTTGACAAGTTTTAATAATCATCAAATTACGTATAATGCGATCAATATTAACCTTGCCAAGTTACATATTCAATATCAAAGAAAGTAGTTCGATTACGTTTCACATGGAACTTGGCACTCGTTCAGATTTCAACGGCAAAGCCAACTCCTGAACGTCGTTTATGCCGAACCTGATTCCTTTTTTACATTTATGTTTCTGTTGAGATAGACTTTTACTAGTTAGAGGTATCTTAAAATGTCTTGGGCCGCGAAATTTGTGAAAGGTGGACCTTATTATATTCATTTTGTACACATTCAAAACTTGAAGATAGTTTCAAATAAACCGCAGACGATCACGGTCAGACGACAAATGTTTTCAGCGAAAAAAAGAATACTTTTGTCACTGCACAACTAAACATCATGATCCATGAGATTTTAAATTACACCTAGTATGAAATTTTGTATCTACTTGCAGGACTGAGAAACAGTATGATAACCTCGAAGAACAGGATGATGTAAGTCAAATATTCTATATCAAATACTAATTTAATTAGAAACATGTACCACTTGTTTTCAGGTTATTATCAATAAAGAAGTCGTTTTACAAAATTTGAGAAATTTAGAATTGCAAAATGAAGATATTGCTGGTCAGTATTGTATTTATAACTTTAGTTTATGTTTTAATAACTCATTTAGGTATGTGTGTTAGTTGTAACAATTTGTTATTATTGTATATTAGGTATACGACTCATCAATGACTAATCCATTTGCTTTTAAATGTGTATTCTTGTTTGACCTACATAGATCTTTATCCCTACCGTAGGACGTTTCATAAAACCTGTCTGTACCTATACAGTGTGTTTGTGAAGCGGCTTCAAAAACACAAAAAGTAATCGCTTTTCTTTTCTATTACTCACTTGCCTCCAGCAGAGATTCGGAAACTTTTGGAACTGTATTAAATAGAAAATGTCAACCCAGATATCTTGTAGATTGCAGATTGAATTCATTACAGCCTCAATTTTTTATTTATCACTTCCTGAGTCTCGTGACACTTCCCGAATGGTAATTAGTCATTATACTATAATAGACTATTCGGGTTGGTGCCACAAAAGCAAGTGAGACGTAGATTTATACGTGTGGGAAACAGAGGGATAGAACTGGCGCAGATCAGGTCACTTGCACAAAAACTTTACGATGGGGTGGAAGTAGAAACACCCTCTCTTTCCCGTGCATGCACATGAGTCCGTTTTGTCCTTGATACTACTTTTCATGCAATGCTTTTTTTTAAAACGATTCTCTCCCAATGCCCTTGAATTTTTGAAATTTCTCTGTTTCCTTTTGAAATAGGAATATCCCAAATATTTGTATTGGAGATAGGCCAAGTATCTAAGAAATAAATCTAAAACAATTTGCAGTTACCTGTATAGAATATCCTCAAATCATCACCTCCTCAGTTGGAGTATACTTTTTGGATGTTTCTCGTATTCAGAACCTTTAGTTTCAATAATCCACATACAACATTGACGTTTTAGAAACAGAATAAGAATTAAAGTCAAATAAAGTCCTTATTAAATGATCCACTGAAAAATCGAAAGACTGCTGTAGGTAGTAAAATCATCGCATTATAAGTTTATCACCATGAGATAGAGATAAGTTTTCAAATGAACAAAACATACTTGACGAAGCCATATTGACACCATGCATAGTTTTTGTGCTGTTTTAGTTAGAAAATTGGGACATCGCCCTAGCACTAATTAGCGCCTGTTCTGCAGATCTCTTGTCATGATTTTATTTCGAGGCACCTTCTGTAATAATTAACTTCTATATAAAAATAATATCAACATTCCGAATACTATTATATTATTATACTTATATTAAAAATCTTTTCTGGATTTTTTCAATCGTGTCATATACATATTCACGATTGTGGGTCATTGCTTTTATGTTACTGATAGAACCCGTTAGGTTCAAAACTAATTTTGATTATATTATTAATGATTGAATATGTGCTATTGATAACATTGCAGGGAGGATCGCTTTGTTAACTTTAATTTATTGCTTTTTACTAGAACGTTCACAAGAGGTTTCTGACGAAATAATAGCTGAAGTTATTTCCGGACAGTCTGAACTTTTGCCAGGAGAAGACGTCATAGGGTAATTCGTCCTATTGAACTTCTGCCTATTTTTAATATTAACGATTGTTGACAACGAATTTTTTTCAGGGTGAATTTTAACAATGTAGATTTATCAAATTCCAAAGTTCTAGAGGTAAGTGTTCAACTGTTTCAAATACTTAATAAGCAAATACACCCTATTATGATACATTAAGATATTTAGGGGTATTGGGACTTTTTTAAACACTTGCTATAACGTTTAAACAAATTTGTAAGGTCGATGAATAAAAAATTGTACAAATTTAAGTATGTCATTTCAGTGTAACGTGGATCAGAGAAGTGAATGATTTTTTTTTGCGTCATAGTAAATACATAGGTATACAAGCACGGCTTGTTGGGTACACTAGGTATATAACATTGAGGTTATCATCTCATCATCATCATAAGGTCGTCAGCCCTAGGACTGGTTGGACACGTACTTCCACTCTATTTTTTATCTTGAGCAATCTTCGCATTTTCCTAAAATATGCGAACAGTAATCTAATAGAGGTCTACCTCTACTCCTCCTAACTCCTGTTTCTGCCTCTAATAAGTCTCTGACTAGACCTTCATGCCTGACAAGGTGCCCTACCAACCTATCTTGCCTATTTCTTATTGACTTTCAGAGAGTGTTCTGTTCTCCTATTCTTTCTAATACCTACCTCTTTATTTCTAACCTACTCTATCCACGGTATCCTCATCGTTCGCCTGTAATACCACATTTCGAACGCTTTTAACCTTTTCTTTTCTGCCGCGCCCGCTATCCATGTTTCGCACCCGTACAGCGCCGTGCTCCAAACATACGCCTTTAACAATCCTTTTCGAATTTCTAAATTAACCGTTCGCGAGCATAGAAGTGACTTCTTTTTATTGAAGGCGACTCGACAATGCGGTATCCTCTGCTTTATATCACTACTACTCCTTCCATTCTGACTTATTTGACTTCCTAGATACCTAAAATCGGCCACTTCTCCTAATTTTTCGTTTCTTATCGTTGAGTTAGGTTAAATTATTTACGGGTGGACTTGGTTAGTGTTTCTCAAAATTTTTGGTTCGCGACCTCCTTTTGCACTTTTAAATTTTAAAGGATTCTGCCCCTCTCCCCCCGATTAATGAGTATGTATAGAACAATAAATCAACTCAGGATGAGTTAACTTCTATTATTTAATTGTATTGGAACATCGATAATTTTGAATAATAACAGATTAAAAAGGAGAACCTTAAATCAGTCACGACGCAATTTCCGATTGATGACTGATTCTAAATCTGACCTCAAAATTATGTCATACCGTCAAACTTTTTAAAAATCTGAATCTCAAAACACACTAAGCATAATTTTTTGCCTTTTGGAGAGAACCAATATGTGAAAGAAAAGGACAAAACAATCAAAAGAGTAGCCATTTCTAAGGCATCATCTTATAATTTATACTCAAATTATACTGGCACATCAAGATTTTGAAATCTTTTAACTTCAAAATCCAATTCTTGCCAATCTGAATTTCTTGGATTTGAGATTAAGACATCTTGAAAATATGACAATTCTGAAGCTATTTTCGACATCATAACGAAAATGATTGCCTTGTTTGTGTGCCGGTTCCAAATAAGTCGTACATTAGCAATATTCGAATTTTTAAGTTATGATACATCAAAATCTTAGCTTTTAATTGACATGTAATCAATTTTTTTCTGCGACGCCCTCTAAATATTTTTCACGACCCCCACACTGAAAACCATTATATTATTACTACTATTACTGGTAAAAATTAAAAGGAAGACTCACCCCTAATTACCACATAAAACTTTATTTGAGCGGACACGTATTTCGCCCACTTCATACGTGGGCATTATCAACGTAAGACTGTCCGCTCAAATAAAGTTTTTTGTGGTAATTAGGGGTGAGTCTTCCTTTTAATTTTTAATTAATATTTACCACTGTCTCCTTTTTCTACTTTACCATTACTGCTAGTTTTCTTGCTATAAGAAAAATAAAAGTGCTGTTTTTCAGACAGTAAAGAGTGAACAGATTAGCGCTCCTGAAAAAAGATGGTCTACATTTCTACAGAAGCCAAAAGGACCAAAACCAAGGCCTAAATCAAAGGAACATGAATTACCTAAAGTAAATCTCACATCAATTGAATTATTACTGTTACTTTAATATTATTAATAATAATTTTTTCAGTATCCGCCATACAATCCTTTGAAACTTCCTAAAAAAGAAACTAAAAATGTGACCAATTCGGATAACGTTACGGTAAAGTTCATAGTTTTAAAATAATTTTGAGAAATATATAGAATACAATATCATCTAATTAAATTTCATTTCTTTCTCCTGTAGTAGTAATTAAATAATCTGGCTAAACAATTTTGTTTATGTAAAAACCACAAACCAATATTTCTCCTCTATGGTTGGAGACTTTATCAAGGTAGGTGTTTTATACTCTTAAGATACAAACTTGTACATATATAGAACATTTTTTGATTTGCAATGAAGAACTTAGGAGTGTAAAAGAAATCGACTTTGATAAAACTCCACCCTTAAAGGTGAAACGTCGGTTTGTAGTTTTTAGATAAATAAAATTGTTTCACCCTTGGTCTAATTATTCGAATTATCTATTTGTTAAATTGTAGGAGAGTTTAGAAGAGGAATCAAATATAGAAAGTCCTGGAGGGGAAATGCCTGCAAATGAAGGTCAAATTGTTGATTCGCTTAGTCCAATTCCGTCGGAAAATACAGAGAATTTTGAATTAGAAGAACAAGAGTTTTCACAAAATGTGAGCGATGGAGATGATTACAATGAGCAACGAGAAGAGGAAAGAGAACATCAAAAAACAGTTAGCTTTGAATCTTCAAGATCTGAAGACATTAGACCTACAGGTAATTTGTGATTTTAATATTATTTAATTACTTTTTTGATGCAGTACAATAACTTGCATTTAAGTAGTACTTATAGTTAGTATATGGAATAAGAATAATTACCTAATACTACACATTAAATCAAAACTAACATTGAAACGCGCGTATAACGATAGTGTACGTCATTGGGAATTACTATAAATGCTCAATTTTAAATTAAATAATGAAAATCTATGATGCGGATAGAAAAGCAGAAAACGGTTTTCATTGTTTTTCAAAGAAAAATCGTAGAGCAAAAGAAAGGTAGTTTTAATTAACTTCATAATGAAAGTAATAAATTGATTACTTATTGTGTGCTTACAATTAGTAAGAGAAAAAAATCAACATATAGATACGTCAACCAAATGAGAAATTCTAAGACAATTTTCTTTCCTTCTTTTGAGACAACAGTGCTGCAGAATGCACAAAATTGGATATTTATGAAAACATGTTCGGTACACAAAAAGTTACATTAAATTAGCTCATTTAAATTTCGGTAGTATTTTTTAGCGTAGCTTTGATATACAGGTAAGGCAAAACGTTCACCGAATACAGCAATTAATACCTACACGTTTCTTTGTTGGCATTTTTTTCTTCTTTTGTTGCACAAGCGAAAATTTATAATATACATATTGAAAATATCTCATGCTTCTCTTAAGGATGTTTGGGAGGTACAATCGGAGGCAAGAGTACATAAAATTATAAATTCGTGATTAATTAGGTTTTGCAGCATATCATGAGGTAAACAAATACTATCTATACTAAAAAAAGGTATACGGTTTGAGAGAAAATTTGGAATTTGACCAAAAACTTTGAATAAAATAAGAAATAACGAATAATATGGAAAATTTTTAACTGACTTTTGGCAGTGAATATGCCTTGATTTCAACTTCGAAACAAAAAAATATTTAGTTTCAATCTTTATTAATAATGAGCGTAAAACTTTTTCATATGTTTAAATAATAATTAACACTTTAAAATTGCATTTATTTCAGACAATTATAAATATTATCATTATTTAACAAGTAAAAACGAGATTTTCAGCTAATTTTTCATTTTGTCCTCGATAACCATTTAGTGAATTTGAATAACCTTACGCTAAAGTGATTCTTCACAGTTCAAGTTACATATTATAAAAGTTTGAAGTTTCTCGGAGCTTTTTTTCTGTTAATAAAAATAAACTTACTCTGTTCGGTTAACGAATCTCCATAAAATGACGTGTAAAATTACAATCTTTTAAAATTTCAATAACTTTTTAACGGTTTAGTGAATCGATTTGTAATTTTTACAGGAGTTTTAGAATTGAATGAGGAACGTTCTTCCAAATTTTTATTTGTCTCGTAGCATTTTGACCTACCTCCCAAACATCCTTAAAATTGTCCTAAAGTAACCGAACTCTGAATGAATCTAAACAGCATTAAATTACATTTATTGGAGTTATATTACTTTATGATTATTTATTTATATGAAAAGTTGACTGATATATTTTTACGAATATCCTTATACCACGTCATAGTTTTAAAAGGACCATATTATAATAGAATATCCTTTTGGTGGATTTCTAACACGCCACTGGTGCATTTTTCTTTCCGAGACCTATTAAATCAAGATTCTTAAGAAGTTTCATAGGATTATCGGATTAATTAGTTTGTTGACCGTATGCTATACAATCTCCAAGAAATTTGCATAAAAACTGGTTTTTACTGTCCAGTTTAAGAAAAATATTACGAGTATATTTTAGTACGAACCTAAAGGCATAATTTGATTCTATATGCAGCAGACACGATGGTTGTAAACTGTTGTATAACTGTTAACCGTTAGTCACTGTAAATAGAAATTTGTTATTGTGTACAAAATTTAGTGGTTTGTTAACATTACTGATACAATGTAAAAAAAAGCTGTTCACCATTTTTTGTTTCTATTAAAATGTTTTTATAAAACCAGAAAACAACTGTTCCCTGTGTTTTTTCTTATAAAATAAATCATTGCGAATAAGTAAAACACTTCAAGTTCATATGAAAGAATCGCATGAAAAATTTACATTGTCTTTCTAATATTGGAAGATACAAAAGCCTCTGAACTATTCATGTGAATATTTATTTACTTTTTATCAAAATAATTGTTAAGTTGCTTCTTATTAAGAATGTTAAAAACAGAAGAATTACAAATCCTTTTATAGTTTTAATGCAATTTATGAATTGATTATAATAATCCCAAAAATGGGAAAGAATAGTTCATTCGTTATACTACGTAACGTTTTGAAAAGGAGGATAATTTGAATTAGCTAGCTAGTGATTAAAAGCACAAACTCTAAAGTATTTTTTAAATAAAACTTTTCAAAATGAGGAAGACGTATTGCAAATCTGGTTCATTGTGAGGAAAATGACCATGTTTTGTTTTCGGGTGCACCTGATTTCGTAATAAAAATGATCAATTTATTAATCGTATTGACGGCTGAAGCTATTGGTTGCGGCTTGGTTACTATTATATAGTATATACAAAAAAGTTGTCATGTGATGAACTCAATATTGAAAAGTTTCGAGAGCGATTATATGACAATGATGCTTTAAATCTCTTTTCACCCCATCAGAGGTTGAATGTTATAAAATGCCTAAATAGGGTTTTAATCAATTACGTATATCAAAGAGCAAAGTAAATCTGACCACAAATAGAACTTCTCCGTAGAAATCTTTCCATCCCTTTTCACCCTTTTCAGGATTGAATTTTGAAATATTCTTCCTTTTTCCTTGTGTGCCTCGTGAAACATATTCTACATTTTATTCCTTCAACATATTTCGATCTTTGTATTCTTCTTATGTCTTCTCCTCTTGTCGCCTTATAACACCTTTTCTTTATCATATTATCTATATTTATTCGCTTATTTTTACTATTTTATCAATTGCTCTTTATTTATCGTTAAGCGCTTCAAATTTTTTCTCATATATGATTACTCTTTTTCTAGTCCTGTTCATTTCGTTTATCTTCTTAAGATACGATCCGGTTTGCGTTTTCCAATTTTTAACATTCGTTTTATGTACTTTTTTTAAATATTCTCCACTCGATTATATCTTTTCCACCTCTAGTTTCCAACCCCATAGAAAATAACACATTTTACTACTGTGTTGAATAGCGTTATTCTTCTATTCCTATCGTTTTTGCATAATTTTGCAACAATTCACATTACTGCATTTACAATTTGCAATTTGATTATTTATATGTGCATCATCGTTATTTTCTCCCATTATGTATATCCCAGGTAGTTACATTTTTTACCTTTTTTATTGTTATACCCTTCCATTTAATTTTTTCTACTTTCTGCTTCTATTTTTGCTGCCCGTTGCCTCTTCAATTTCACTATTTCAGTTTTTTCTCTGTTTAATTTTCTAATCTTACCATTCCTCTTAAAGCATCATAGCTTGTCGCTAACAAAACCATTCTATAAGATATTTTCCATACTTTTTTTCGTCTGATGACTATTCCATCCTCCCTCACCGTACTCATAGTTTCCTCCAAGACACTCATGATTTATTGCCGTATTCCCTTTTCCATTCAGAATATTCTAACTACTTATTTTTACCATTTCTATCGTTTTTATATACTTATATCCTCATTATCTTCTCTATCACCGCTTCGTCTATTTCGTTTCTTTTTTTTCTCAACATTATTTGTCACTATTTCCTTTCTGTATTCTTTCTTTTTCTTCCAACACTTTTCGTTCTATCATTTTTTACTGCTTACACCCATTTTTATCTTTTACTTTACCAAATTTTTATTGATGATCATATGTAGGTTACATATTTATAATAATTATGGTGAGCTTTTCAGAAGTATTAACAACTTCGTTGGAAGAACAACTCGCTCAAGTTCAAAAGCAACTTATGACATTATCCAATTTGCCGTCTTCAATTCAGTCTACCATAGAAGAAGTAACGCAACAGTTAGCCAGAATAGCTAGTCAAGCTAATCAGGCATTTTCATATAAAGCAGATTCATCCGTAGGAGAACAACAGGATGTAATAAATTACGATGAGTTTAGCGACAGAGTAGGTAAGATACATTTTTATGTTGTAGTCATTATATGAATAAATAAGTGAATATTTTAAATTCCACTTGGGCGGTTTTGAAAGTAGTGATGGGTAAAATTGGTCTTGGCCTTGAAAGACAAGATCAAGAATATAAGCATTTAACTAAGACCAAGATCAAGGCTAAGACTATAAGTATTTGACTAAGATCAAGACCTAGACCAAGACTATAAGTATTTGACTAAGACCAAGACAAAGACTATAAGTATTTGACTAAAACCAAAACCAAGACTATAAGTTTCTGACTAAGACCAAGACCAAGGTCAAGACTATAAGTATTTGACTAAGACCAAGACAAAGACTATAAGTATTTGATTAAAACCAAAACCAAGACTATAAGTTTCTGATTAAGAGCAAGACCAAGGCTAAGACTATAAGTATTTGACTAAGACCAAGACAAAGGCAATAAGTATTTGACTAAGACCAAGGCCAAGGTCAAGACGATAAGTATTAGACCAAGACCAAAGCCTAGTTCGAATAAGCAAAGTGGGACAGTCTTGGTCTTGGTCCTTCTTTGCTTATCACTGTTTGAAAGTAAATGTGGTTTCAAAAACTAGCAAACAGCCGACCTGTTACATATTGCAATTTGAATTGGGGTAGGTGAAGTTTAGTTACACTATTAACGGGAACATAAAAGGTCTGTTAATGGATCTGCATTTATATGCATTATAGAATCAGTCGACGAAGAGGAACTTGCATTCGAACACTCTGACAAAGAATCTGAAGACATTTTAGAAGGAGGAGGTAAACACTTTGAGGATATTGAGTATGAAGATGGAGAACAAGAGGGTGGTAGTGACTTGGAACAGTTCAGTCCAACCCATGATAGTGAAGAACAAGGTACTCCGAAACCAAGAGAACCTACTGAAGAAGAAATTGAAGAAATGCGAAGGGAACAAGAAAGGATTGAGAAACAGCAAAAAGTTAGTTGCAAACATAAAATAAGATACATCTATAAATGCATTTACTAATTTTCAGTAAATAATGAATCATTCATTTTTTCGTTTAGTATTCTACGATATCTTATCCTTTGTTGAAATTTCCTTGTTTTTATAAGTATATTGTATGTATAATGAGTACTATTACCCTGATAAGTTTTATTTTATTTCACCATCATAATCTTCACAGGACTATCAATCTGGTTGGAACCATACCTCCATTTCTTAAGCTAAGCAAGTCTCCACATTTCCCTAAATGTCTTACAACCCCAACTATTTGCAAACTGTAATCAAATCTAGGTTTTCTTCCACCCCTTTTTACTCCTATTTCTACTTCTAATATGTGTAAACGTAAGTAAATTTAAAAAATTACCTTTTTTGCATTTGTCAATCAATATTACGTTAGCTTTAACCGTCAATTTGTGCTGTCTATCTGTTTCGTTTTGGTGAGATGTCTTGCATCAAGGGAGACCAAATACGAACAGTAAGTTCTTCGTTAGTAATTTATCGAAACTGTCAGGATACACACGTGGATCGCTACTTCCAACTTATCAGTGTCTTATATTGATCTGGGGAGATCTTAATGCTTTATGAATCCAATCCAAAAGAACCTGTACCGTCGTTATCTTCACCTATAACTGCGTTGAGTTTCCCACAACTATTACGTTTTCCTGTCCTTTCACTAAACTTAACACGTCTTCTATAACTGCATAAACCACTCTACGTCTTCATCACTGTAAGATGATGCAGGCATGTAGACCTGCACTAATACCGTTTTTACCGGCTTCGAGTTTTTTTAACCATTTTTAACCATAACTATCCTATCGCTTTTTTATAAATAACTTTCTACACTTTGCCCTGCTTTCCTACGCATTACAATTCCTACCCTCCAATTACCTTCCGCCGATCCTGTATGTATTATTCTAAAGTCTCCCCTCCTTAAGTGTCCGGCCTACGGCCAACGGACTAATACTTACTATATCTAATTTTAATCTAACCATTTCCCCTTTTAAATTTTTCAATTTCCCTACCTGCCTCATTGACCTAACATTCCACGCTCCGACTCGTGAAATATTGCATCTATCCCTATTGCATTTATCCCCGAGGTAGTCCCCGTCCGGACATCCGAATGGGAAATTAGTTTACGTCCGGAGTGCTTTACTTCAGAGGACGCACTCATTTAATTTCTGTAGTTGAACGTTTTACTCCGGATCATAATGTGGTGGTTTCCCATTGCCTTCCGAATCGCAGTATCAGAGTGCCATACCGATCCTCGTGATCTTTGCCACCCTGCGTACTGAAACATTCAGGGATTTGTCTTAATCTGGTTTCTTTTTAAGAACCCTCTCATTATGATTGAACCCATGATCCGGCTCCCTAAATCATCGAAACTCGCAAGATGATCCACCCACTCTCTACAAGAGTTCCGTCAAAGTTCAAGTCCCGTCGGATCAGGAACACATAGTAGATTAAAAGATGTTACACGCGATTTTGGACTAAAATAGGGAATAAGATTTCATTTAAATACATTTGATTATACTTTCATTTCGGTTACAATAAGCATATTGATTACATTTTATTATTTTGCGTGCACAAATTTTATACTTCACAATAGTTTTAAACGGAACAATTTTTTGATAACTGTGAGTGGTTCTAGGAAACAGGTGAATTAAATGAAGCATATCAAAGACGTATTGAACAAAGGCCAACTCGAGGTTTGGCACCTTTACAGAGGCCTATTGTTTTACCGGGTGGACGAAAGTGGACCCAGCCGGATGATGCAGCTTTGGCTAGTAAACCCAGAAGGATGACAGATGAAAAAATAGCGGAAACGATCGAAACATATTCTGAAGTCATAACGGGAAAACTGAAAGGGTACGCCAGTGACTTAGTTAATATTTATAGGCCGTTCTTTTCAGGTGGAGCACTTAAACAAGGTTTGGCCTTGGTCGGACGAACCAAAACCCATTTACAAGTAGGTGCTTCACAATATTATTTTATAATTATATTGAAAAGATTTAGAGGGAGCTTCGAGCTAAACACATTATTTATATTTTTGCGTTATTTCAACAATAGTTACTTGAAGAGACGTTGGTAATTTTTAAGTAGGATTTAAGGGAGTCTGGTTATGTTCTGACTAATAAAATTAATAAATACAATTTAAGTTGGATTCCTGACCGTTAATTTTAAATAATTAAACAAGTTTATATTTTTTGTTACGTTTCGGTTTATTCAATCATCTTCAAACTGAATGTCTTAAGTTTTGGGGGTGTTCGATGATAATTTGGTTGAGTAAGGAGCTGGCGTAATATGGTAGAAAAATAATGACATAATTAAACGAGAGATGGGGGGGGCATCACACACTTCAGGGGACTAATAATAATACAGTAAATGAAATAATTAAAAATATTAAACCAAACTGTTTAATAACCCTCTGGCGACATAATTCAGAAATTATAAATGTCGTACAATATTGGTTTAAAAATCTAGTGTCGGGGTAAAAAAGAATTTAGGTTTTTTGTGAAATTCTTATATTTCGCCATTTACCGAAAAAATGGTTTCCTAATATCTACATATCATTTCAGCGGTATAACTATATACCATCTGAGGCCCGCAAAAAAAATAACTTGAGCGATATTTTTTCCTTATGAATGTGTTTAATCTTGATGATTTGGTTAATACGTAACTTAAACTGATTAAATATAAAATTAATATTTTTACCAAATTTTCTATAAAATGTTACGTTCCTCCTTCCTGTCCTCACGACCTCTTGGGCCTCAGGCTAGTGGCCTGTAGCATTTTGTTCATTCTGCTAGCCTATTGTTACGCTATTGTATCTTTTAGATGTAGACTTTTGTACACTAGACCTACTAGAAATCTAAATTTTAAACGAGCAACATCTAATGAGTTTATCTACAGATGATTTAATTGGAAGATGATTTATATCTAATTTCTACAACAATTTGGTTTTTTCTTTGCAGCATTTTAATGTTAGTGTGCTTGATTACAATTTACAATTTTAAAAGTTTAAAAGATTTTTCGAAATTTACTCAGAGATAAAAATGTTTAGTCTCTCACAGTCTCTGAAAGCGAGACTCGAGTCTCCGTCTCTCATCGAGTCTCTCTGGTGTCGCTGAGAGAGACTGTCAAAAAAACTGTTTAGCGTCTCTGAACGAGAGACTCGAGTCGCTCATAGAGAGATCGTCATTTCGTATCCAGTCTCTGAACGAGAGACTCGAATCTCTGAACGAGAGACTCGAGTCGCTCATAGAGAGATCCTCATTTCGTATC